TGAAAGGAAATAAAAAGAAAGACAGAAATGGAAAAAGGAAAGAAAGACAGAAACGGAAATGAACGACAAAGAAAGACAGAAACTGGAAAGGAACGATAAAGAAAAAGAACAGAAACGGAAATGAACGATAAAAGAAAGAAGAAACTGAAAGGAACGATAAAGAAAGACGGAAATGAAACGACAAAGAAAAAGACAGAAACTGAAATGAACGAAAAAGAAAAAACAGAAACGGAAATGAAACGAGAAAAAAGAAAGAAAGGAACGAAAAACAGAAACGGAAATGAACGACAAAGAAAGACAAAAACTGAAAGGAACGAAAAAGAAAGACAGAAATGGAAATGAACGACAAAGAAAGACAGAAACGGAAAAATGAACGAAAAGGAAATGAACGACAAAAGAAACGGAAATGAAACGAACGAAAAAGAAAAGACAGAAATGGAAATGAACGACAAAAAAAAGACAGAAACGGAAATGAACGATAAAGAAAGACAGAAACGGAAATGAACGACAAAAGAAAGACAGAAACGGAAAAGGAACGATAAAAAGAAAGACAGAAACGGAAATGAACGAAAAAGAAAGACAGAAACGGAAATGAACGAAAAGAAAGACAGAAACTGAAAGGAACGAAAAGGAAAAGCAGAAACGGAAATGAACGACAAAAAAAAAGACAGAAACTGAAAGGAACGAAAAAGAAAGACAGAAATGGGAACGAAAGGAACGAAAAGGAAAGAATGATAAAGAAAACTGGAAATGGAAATGAACGACAAGGAAAGACAGAAACGGAAAGGAACGATAAAGAAAGACAGAAACGGAAATGAACGAAAAAGAAAGACAGAAACGGAAATGAACGATAAAAAAAGACAGAAACTGAAAGGAACAAAAAAGAAAAAGAAACTGAAATGAACGACAAAGAAAGACAGAAATGGAAATGAACGATAAAGAAAGACAGAAACGGAATGGAACGAAAAGGAAAGACAGAAATGGAAACGAACGATAAAAGAAAGACAGAAAACGAAAATGAACGAAAAAGAAAGACAGAAATGGAAAGGAACGATAAAAAGAAAGACAGAAACGGAAAGGAACGACAAAAAGAAAGACAGAAATGGAAAGGAACGATAAAAGAAAGACAGAAATGTAAAGGAACGACAAAGAAAGACAGAAAACTGAAAGGAACGAAAAAGAAAGACAGAAACGGAAATGAACGAAAAGGAAAGACAGAAACTGAAATGAACGACAAAAGAAAGACAGAAATGGAAAGGAACGATAAAGAAAGACAGAAATGGAAAGGAACGACAAAGAAAGACAGAAACTGAAAGGAACGAAAAGGAAAGACAGAAACGGAAAGGAACGATAAAGAAAGACAGAAACTGAAATGAACGACAAAGAAAGACAGAAATGGAAAAGGAACGAAAAGAAAGACAAAAACGGAAATGAACGAAAAAGAAAGACAGAAACTGAAAAGGAACGATAAAGAAAGACAGAAACTGAAAGGAACGATAAAGAAAGACAGAAACGGAAATGAACGAAAAAGAAAGACTGAAATGGAAATGAACGACAAAGAAAGACAGAAACTGAAAGGACCGATAAAGAAAGACAGAAATGGAAATGAACGACAAAGAAAGACAGAAACGGAAAGGAACGAAAAAGAAAGACAGAAACGGAAAGGAACGATAAAGAAAGACAGAAACGGAAAGGAACGAAAAAGAAGGAAACGACGAGATTATTTTATAGGAAAAAAAACAAAAACAAAAACAAAACCTGAACCAACATTGTCATTACAATTGTATTTTTATTTATTTTTTGTTTTTGTTTGGTTTTGCTAATTTTCACGAGAGGTGAGAAAATGAACAAGGAACGTGACCAATCAGAAACATTTTGCTCGCCCTGTGCCTATCTGTGCGTGAAATGTCTTATCCAATCTAGAACACTCTTCAATCTAACTCTTTCCTTGCAAACTAACCCCATCACCCATCCCACGATTTTAACTAGAAACACAGATTTATGTTCGGATCAGAAGGAAAATCAAATCTCTTGAAGCAGAGCATTGCAGGCCGGGTAAACGTGGATAGTGAGGAAGGAGGTGGTCAGGCTACATAACGCTGCTTGCTTCTGATTCGTCGTTTCTCTTTGGGCCATGAATACTGACCAATTCGTTTTTGGCTCCGTTCCTAATTTTGAACGTGGGACGATTCCCCAACTTAATATGGTTAATAATGGCCGATCGAATTTGTACTTATTTAAGTTATTCAAGCTGTAATTAAATATAGCGGTTTCAATCCCAGAGAACGCATACAGAACTTAAGGATCTTTCTAGTAGCTAAAATTTATGTCTATATCTCTCAGATGAGGTATTATGATTATTTGCAATATTTACATTATTGGAACTGTTATCCTCATCTTCATTGCCATATTCACAACGTTTCTGCCGTTGTACACTCCGGCCTTCTTCAGGTGATTGGATCTCTGAGAAGAGTTATTATGATTACTTGCATTATTTACATTATTCGGCTGTTATCCTCATCTTCATTGCCATATTCACAACGTTTCGGCCGTTGTACACTCCGGCCTTCTTCAGGTGATTGGATCTCTGATATGAATTATTATGATTACTTGCATTATTTAAATTATTCGGACTGTTATCCTCAACTTCATTGCCATATTTACAACACTCCGGCCTTCTTCAGAAAGACGGAAAATTAATTAAAGAATTGAGTTAAAGGGAAATAACTGCGATATCCGAAAGGGGCATGGCATGTGGAATTAGAACAATTTACCCCGGTGGACGAAATAATGGTTTCGATTCGAAATTTCAATCACCTGCAGAAAGCCGGAGCGTAAAACGGCCGAAACGTTGGGAATAAGGCAATGAAGATGAAGATAACAGTCAGAAAAATGTAGCTAAAATTTATATTCTTTTTCGTAATGTGACAAAAATAAACTTTGATATAAAAATCTCTTCTTAGTGATATCACTAATTAATATAAAATTATTAACACTATTTAATATGAATATCACTTCCTAGGGATATGCGAGTTAGCAAGCTGGGCCTGTATATCTTTAATAATTCATTTGATTCACTCTGTGTACCCCCTAATAAAACCTTCCCCACAAACTAAGTATAGCTTATTAAATAATTATGACATTTATCTTATACTAGCAGCCGTACCCAGCTGGTCAATCAGAAAAAAAAAGTTCAATTAGAATGGAGCAAAAACAGTATCATGTTTAGATGTCGTAGTGTCTATCTTCTTCAATTGTTTCAAAGTCCTTTTATTAAAAGAAATTCTGAATTAATGCAGTTACGGATATAACAGAAGTCGTCTGTATTTATTTAATCCAACTTAACCGAGGACATGAAGGGGTAAAACAGGCAACATGAAAACCCTTTTCAGACCACAATTATTTTGGCGTTTTTGAAATTCAATTTATCAGTGTGTTCCAGGGATGTAAAAGGGGATACATTTATAATAAAGCAGTTGTTAAGTTTAATGAAAATCAGTTGAAAGATCAACGAAATAAGAAACCAGTAAGAATCGTCGTCTTTAGCTATTTACGTGGGTTTTCACTATATAGGTGGACTCAATTATCAAGTTAAACCATCAACTTATTGTTAGCTACAATTGAGTGAAGTTTGTATTAGACTGCTTGAAAATAGAGGGAGTTTTAGTTTAAAATTTGCGTCGAAATAAATTTGTGTTGAAATCGATTTTTCGCTAAACGCATAAGAAAGAAATAAAAATGAGGTATCGTTGAGCTCATCATGATGCAAGTAACACGCATACCGAGTTTGAACGAAATCGGAGAAAAAAGTTGAATTTATCGATTTTTGAACGGCTTTATCAATTATTGATTTTTCTTTTTTAAATTATCGACTGTTTATGCTCAGAACCTATCTATCACATTGTATAATGTAGATGCCAAGTTTGCCTAAAATAGATTGAATGGAGCTCGAGGGTAAAGGTATCACACTGACAGACACACGCACAAACATCCTCTGTTTTATATATAGATAGATACCGAATAGGTGTACTTTTTCTTTTACTAATAGTTCACCCAATGCTAGATCCAAGAGCCACTCAAGGTAGAGAGCTACTGACCTAGGTTGTTGTATGAATGTAAGAGGAGCAGGTGTTAGTGCAGTTTATGAGAATATGTGGGAAAGTAACGGTTGAGATTAGAGTGATCGATTTGGTTGTCTGGTTGGTGTGGCATATCAAACTCTTTGGGTTACTTGATGCCGACCTCTACATATTTTGTAATTTTATTAAAAAAAACTAATGGTTTTAGTGATACAAGTCTTACTAATTAACGCATAGATAGGCGAAAAGTTGGATTCAATATATTCCCAAGGGTATTTGCGCGTAAGTGAAGATAACGAACTCTGCGGAAACTAGAACTCCGGCTCTCTATTACGCCACCCGCGTATCCAAGCTTAAAGTATCTGGTATTTCCAAGTGGTAATCCATTTATATACTAACCAGTTTCAACGTTGCTTAACTTCGGTGATCGCACGTGATCCGGTGATTCAACGTGCCCGTAAGTCGTAGTAATCAGGGAAGCATCTCTTTTTGAGTCTGTTCCATAAGTAGCGGTTTTTAGGAAGAAGATGTATAATGGGACTTCTTACTTACTAATGGAATACAGGGGAGATGGTTAGGATTCGACCCAGAGTACGTGACATAGCGGGCCTCAGCTGCGAAGATCAAAACTTGTGGAACTGAGGAAAGTAGCACATCAGAACACTTGCCATGGAGAAAGCGATAAAATGGCAAGAGGCTTGCAATGTTTCGTCTCTGGGATTAGCGGTTGTAGAATGGGAAATAATTCATCACTCAAAAGTTCCTGAAGACACTTCTGAACGCTATCAAATTCGGAAAGTGAGTATTGAGAAGCTCCAGCGCAGATAAAGCAACAGTATTCCATTTTCGGCCTGATCTGTGTTTTGTAAAGATAGAGCATAGCAGTAGGGGCCAGGTACTTTCTGGGTTTGTACGAGGAACCGGCCCCCTTTCCAATATCTTTAGATAGTAGATAGATAGATAATGCACAAAATGAGATAGATAGATAGATAATGCACAGAGATAAATAGTAACATAGATAGATAGATAGATAGATAGATAGATAGATAGATAGATAATGCACAAACTGAGATAGATAGATAGATAGATAGATAGATAGATAGATAGATAGATAGATAATGCACAAAATGAGATAGATAGATAGATAGATAATGCACAAAATGAGATAGATAGATAGATAGATAGATAATGCACAAACTGAGATGAATAGATAATGCACAAACTGAGATAGATAGATAGATAGATAGATAGATAGATAGATAGATAGATAATGCACAAAATGAGATAGATAGATAGATAGATAGATAGATAATGCACAAACTGAGATGAATAGATAATGCACAAACTGAGATAGATAGATAGATAGATAATGCACAAAATGAGATAGATAGATAGATAGATAGATAGATAGATAATGCACAAACTGAGATAGATAGATAGATAGATAGATATATAGATAGATAGATAATGCACAAACTGAGATGAATAGATAATGCACAAACTGAGATAGATGGATAGATGGATAGATGGATGGATGGAGGATAGATAATGCACAAACTGGGATAGATGGATAGATGGATGGAGATGGATAGATAGATGGATGGATGGATACATATGCACGGGGATGGATGGGAAAGATAGATAGATGGATAGATAATGCACAAGCTGGGATAGATAGATAATGCTCAAACTGAGGATAGATAGATAGATAGATAGATAATAAATGAGATAGATAGAAGATAGATAATGCACAAACTGGGGAGAAAGATAGATAATGCACAAACTGGGATAGATAGATAGATAGATAGATAGATAGATAGATAGATAATGCACAAACTGAGATAGATAGATAGATAGATAGATAGATAGATAGATAGATAGATAGATAGATAATACGCGGAGATAGATAGAAAGATAGTTAGATAATGCACAAACTGAGATAGATAGATAATGTATAAAACTAAGATAGACAATGCACAATCTGGAAATAGATAACATATAATATGGGATATATATATATATATATATATATATATATATATATATATATATATCTCAGTTTGCATTTCTATCTCTCTCTCTCTATATATATATATATATATATATATATATATATATATATATATATATATATATATATCGAGAGAGAGCGATGAATAATGTACAAAACAGAATGAGAGAGAGACAAAAAATATTGATGAATATTTTTGTATGTGTATTTATGATGATGCGAGGTTTGCTTTTTTTCAATCTCTCATAACCAAACTTGCCATGCCATCCAGACATCTCTCCCCATGACGCACCCGTCCAGTCATCCTGATTTGACGCCAAACTTATAACGACCCAAGCAAAATCCACTAAGAACATCTAAGTGTACTGTTAACACTACCGCACACAGATTACCGTCCGCAGAGCTCCCGGGAGCACCCGAGCGTGCTGTCACCGCAACACGGTCGTAAACCTTCTCTCAGCGATATAATACGAATTGGCAGCGGCTTACCCTGCTGCCTCGAAGCGACCGTCTCATCACACCCAACCATTTCAAACGTTTGCATCCCCACTGATCCCCGTGGAAATTTGTCTCTTTTAGCGTTATGAATGTCGTCGCCGACGCTTTTTGACATTGACTTCAACCGACGCCTACAGATAATACCAACACGTTTTTCGAACGCCAATGCGTTTTAACGTCCAGGGAACACATTTCAGTTGAACCTCTACGTGCCGTGTTGTTTCAGGCTGTGGGCGATGATGGCCCTCCACATCTTCCTATCATTCGTAGTTGCTTCCAGTCTCTTTCTTGTCATCCATTTACAGAAACACGTTACGTTCTGTTTCCCTTTCTCCATCAAAGTGTAAGAGTCGTTTTTGTTTCCATTTTCCTTAAAAAATATCCTCGTTATTCATATGTTTGGACCATGATATTTTCAGCGTCCTATAGATCAATATTTCTGTTACCTCAGGTCTCCTCTTCATGTGAGGAAACTGTCCAACATTCACTGCTATAGAGTAACTGATATTATAAAAAAAATTATACTCTTTCCTTTGTTGCGTGGAGTATTGCTGCCATATATGATCTGGTAGCCCTTATGTTTGCCTCGGGGTTGTTGATAAGCTCCAGAGGCGGATATGCAATATAATTGGCCCTTTTCTGGCATCTCGTCTACAGTCGCTCTCTCACAGACGCGCCGTCGCCTCTCTGTCTTTTTTACAAATACTTTCATGGTAATTGCTCCGTGGAGCTACATTCGCTGGTTCCCAGACTTCATGAATTCAAGCGCCCCTACAGGCTTGCATGCCGCTCTCACCCTTTCACTGTCGAAACTATTAAATATAGCCGTCTCTTCTACTCCAATAGCTTCATGTCTCGCACTTCTCGCCTGTGGAACTCCCTTCCCTATTCCAGTTTCCCTGAGAGCTATAATCTCCAACTATTCAAGTGTAATGTCAATCGACATCTCCAGTTGCTTTGATCTATCCACTATTCTTCTCCTCATCCTTTCCTTTATCACTGCTATCTGATCTTGCTCCAAATCTTCTGTAATCCCTTGCGTCCTAGTGGCTTCCCGCCTTGCTTGGAGTGAAAAGCTTGAAAAAAAGAAGTTTCTTTGTTAAAATATTTCCGTTTTTCTACTTGCTTGATGTTAGTGGCTCAAATTAACCAATTCTGTGTTCTCAACTTATAGCGTTCTTCGGGCTTACAAACAGTGTTATGTTCCGGTTCCTTGTACCACGGCGATAGTCCAAGGTAGAACCAATAAAGAAGAACTCGAACACGGATATGGAATAACACAGATATATTACAAACAGGAAGAAAATGTTAGTACGAACAATCAGGTTTAGTAGTAATTGTCTGAACGCGACTCTGTTTCAAACTGCCTCTGACTCGACTGACTGACAGACTCCTTTAAAGTGGGATCTCCGCGCCCGTGGGCTCGTCCAAAAATATGCCCAATTGAACCCGTATAAACGGGTTCAGGGTCGGTTTACCTCCCCGAAAGAGACTCCGCCCTTCGGCGTAGCCTCGTTCGGGTTCCTCCCCGCCCGAAAGCAGAGAGTTCAACCGATCAGCCGATCAGCCGGTCGACCGACTTCCGGGCTGAATAATATTCAGTCACGCTCCCACGAGGGTGTCATGTGGCACAAGGCCTTTTTAACGTGAGATCTCCGAGCCCCGGGCTCCGGCAAAAAATACACTTTTAAAACCCGTATAAACGGTTGGGTCGGTTACCTCTCGAAAGAGACTCCGCCCTTCGGCGTAGCCTCGTTCGGGTTCCTCTCCGCCCGAAGGCAGAAAGTTCAACCGATCAGCCGATCCTCCGGTCGCCCGACTTCGGGCTGAACGGTATTTAGTCACCCCCACCCCCGCCACGAGGGCATCATGTGGCACAAGGCCGGTTTAACGTGGGATCTCCGGGCCCATGGGCTCGGCCAAAAATATGCCCTTTTAAAACACGTATAAACGGGTTCGGGGTCGGTTTACCTCCCCGAAAGAGACTCCTCCCTTCGGCGTAGCCTCGTTCGGGTTCCTCCCCGCCAGAAGGTTGAGAGTTCAACCGATCAGCCGATCAGCCGGTCGCCTGACTTCGGGCTGAACTCCCTGCTTCCTCTTGAGGTGCACTATTTATTACGTATGGAATAGTCCATTATGTTATTATGGGTAAGGTCCCATAACAAATAGTTTTCTTACAACCGATGCTTAGTCCTTTCTTCTCACTTCTATTTGGTACCTTCTCTAGGATTTCCTGTATTTTCTTTTCCGTGTCTGATATCAACATTGTCATCTGCATGTCTTATGTTGTTAAGATTGTGGCAACATGTAAAGATATGAACGTCTGGTTCATGGAAACAAAAAAGAGTGGGTTCACTCAGATATGAACACACTAACAGGTCCCAGCGAACAACAAATAAAAGATTAACATTTCTAAATAAAATAATAAAAAAAATATGTGAAAAGTATGGAGTGACAGACGTGCAATTAATAAAATAACACTTATCTGATATTGGATGTTAGTACAAACGTTTGTTTTTCATGAATTTGGATTTTAAATGTTCATAATGACAGACAAAGTTATTGAAGAATGTCCACAAATAAATTAGTTGTTATTTCTTCAGCAATGTAAAATATAAAAATTGAGGAGCGTAGAACCAACTCTTAATTGCTGTTGTTCCCAGGTTCAGCTTGACCCGGGCTGGTAGCGCCTCTTAGGGTTCCAACCGTGGGAAAATAGTTAAGTTGGATGAAAACACTATGAAAGTATAAAAAATATATTTTTATAGTAAAAATACCAGTAATACATTTTCATAGGAAAAAAAATATTACCAGTAATATATTTTTGTAAAAGAAAATACTAATGCTCCAAAGAAAATTAAGGTTCGGCATTAAAAAACCCATAAGTAGTTGATATGCCTTTAAAATAACAAACAAGCATAAAGATTGCAAAAAAATAGTTTTCTACTAGATTAACAACAATGTGTCCGCAAGTTTACCTTGTAATTTACACTTATAATGCTTCCGATGGAAAACATTTAACGTAATTACCCATATATAATACGCCTTCATACATAATACGCACCTGAAAATTGGTGCTGAAAGTGTTAGAAAATGCTTCTACTCATGCATAATACGCTGTTCTTGTTTGCTAATCAAACCCTATAAACTGTACCTCAGTAAACTCATTACAGCCAGCGTTTCCTACTCTTATTAAAATATCGTTTTCAACATAGAATAATATTATTCTAATTTAGTTTTATGATAATTTTTATTTTATTTTACATTTGTAAGTATTGTTAGGTACATATGATTGTATTTGAGATCCTTATGGGGTCGCAATCGCCGAAGGTTAGTGTTAAATTGTCGTATGTTTGTGGTGAGTAGTCATTTCGCAACTGAAATCGACCGATGAAACGGCATTTTTTAAAAGATTTTCTTGTAGCTGTGCATAATACACACCACTAATTTTGCTTTTTTTTAAGAAAAAATGCGTTTTATCCGTAGGAAATTACGGTGATAAAATGCAGGAAGATGTTAGAACGGGCATTAGTCGTCCTCAATCTTCTATCTATATTGTTAATCGAAGAAAAGTATTCTGATCTTATAATTATTAGGTTACAGTTACAGCCCTTTGCAACGTTACTATAGCAACGTTGGTGATGAGCAGTTAGGGTTTAAGTTTAGGATAATAATTGATTGCAACGTTACAGTAAGGTCTTCACAACTTTGCAACATTGCAAATATGTTACATGTTTGCTGGGATACTTGTTCGACCGTTCTAAAGTGTGTTATTTATTCGTTTTTTAACAGAGTAGTGGCATGATCTGCTCCTTACAAATTTCACTTTGCGAATATTTATTCTTGATTTATCGGTGTTGCAGTCGCAGCTAAACGTGCAATGTGCACAACTGCTCTCGTTGGCCTCAAAAGATAAAGTAGAAAAGTGTAAGATTACAAACAAATTGTGTTATGTAGATTTAAGGCCAGCATTCGTAATCACATTGCAGGAGGTGGGGAACGGTTTTACTTCTTATTTTATTTTTGGAAAATAGTTTTATTTTTCCATATTGTTTCCATAGGGCACCTTGACCGCACTTCGACGAATAAAAAAGTTTTTTTTCCCCGGAAGACACTTAGCAGATCAACTTTTTTAACATTTCCAAGGAAGGAAAGTCGCCGTGTCACTTACGTTGTGTGCGATCATAGATTGAATGTGGCTGAATCTGTTTCGTAGTCAAAATAAAATTATAATATGATCGTAATTTTTCAATTTATGATTCCGATTTTCGCTAGAATTAATTATTTATTGCTTCTGAAATGTCAATCTTAAGAAAATATCAACAGCATATATATATATATATATATATATATATATATATATATATATAAACTTGATTATAATAATAATAATAATTATTATTATTATTATTATTTTTATTATTATTATTATTATTATTATTATTATTATTATTATTAATAGTATTAACGTTATTTTTGGTTGGTGAACATGATTGATTTTTCTATCACCATTTTTCGTTTAATTTTCTTTAACAGAGAAATTAAAAACAACAGACCTAAATATTAAATAGTAAAAGTTTATAATAGAAAGAAATAATATCAAATATATATATATATATATATATATATATAGATAGATAGATAGATAGATAGATAGATAGATAGATAGATATAGATATATAGATATATATATGTGTGTTTGTGTGTGTCTTTAGGCAGCATTTTTTCATTGATACATGTTTCATTAAATAATATAGACAAGTGTTGTCTATTTATTTTATGTGAATTGTTTTCATATCGTCTGATAAGCTTAATAACATTATCATTAAACAAAGAAAGAAAATCACAATATTGATATATATTTTTTAATCCTTTCTAAGCTTTCGGCTTACATAAGCCATTGTCAAAAATGACAATTACATTACAATATATTAAGCAATACACGTGCAAGACAGTGATGATAGTATGTTTCTGTTTACATGGATGATTTCCAAGCAACGATAAACAAGTGCATATAAGACGCTGGAATCGAAAATCGCAGCGCAGCTCATGACGTCACACATGACCACACATGAGTGAATTAGAGAAGTATTATAGGCATTTAAGAATATTTGT